ACCACACACCGATCCCAGCAGTGGCGCAACCGTTTCCGCCAGCTTCACATTCTTCCACACACCTACCACTACCACAACTTTCTCTCCCACAACTCAGTCTACATCAAACTCTACTTCAACCCCACCCCACCACATCGCTGTTACCACCAACATGGCCACTTTTACATCGGCTCCACAGCCATTGGCATTCCCCACAGAGAACACAATCGCAGAGCAAAACTCAAGCAACTCCAAAACAACATCCCCGTATCAGCAGAACTCTCCCTACGTTATTGGCACTCTCACAACAACATCCACCACTACACCACTATCCAGCTCACATCCCATGACACCTATGATCAGGCCTGGATCCAAGAGCATCACCACATTGCCAACTGGATGCCCACACTCAACTGGCCCTTCATCTCACACCATCTCAAGCTCAAAGCCCAAGGGTGGCAATTCACCAAGCATCGGGCCCACTTTTACTCCAGACTGGCCACTCACAAACGCCTTTTTCGACGACTCCGCCTCCGCCAACAGACACTCAGAGAACCACACCTTTACACTTCTACAAAACATCATGCCCTCACCCTACTCCGTGACCTTACCAAACACACGGCAGCCTCCTTTGAAGCAGCCAAACAGCTGCGCAGTGGCCGTCGCACAGACTTAGAATGTCTACGCCATCAGGCGCATGGCCCCCAATCTGGAAGAACCAGGCCGCAGCAGGGCACTCCACATCATCAACAAAGCCCTCCTTTTCCGCAATCTTACACCACCCAAGCCAAACATTCCTCTCACAGCGCCCTTCCTGGCGCACCAGGACTTCACAAAGCATTGCCAACAGTGGCTCCGTACCACCATCCAGCAACGCAAACATTTGGCCATTCCTCTCCACCTCCCGTCACACCGCCTACGGGAAGCAGCCCACAAGACCCTTCGATCCCAACTCCACAATCACCGCACATGGGAAGAAACTCTGCAATCGCCACAGGATCCAACAGATCCACCGTGCGCCTGCGCCCACCTACGCAGTCTCCTCCAGGATCCAGACACACCGACCATCAACGACCACTATATTCTCACACTTGACCAACTCAATCTCCCACAACACCTCAACATCTTTCTCCAAGCCAACATGAACAGCACCTACTATCCCAGCAAGGCGCGCTACTTCCTTACATTCCAAACGGCCTATACAAAATGGCTCAAGCTCCAGGGACTTCCACAATCCCTCACACAGCATTTGCAACCTTTCCTCGAGCACCAATGGCGCCTTCACACCAATCATTTGAAACAACATCTCAGATTCACTGCCCGTTTACTTTGACAGCTTCAAGAATACCTCGGCCCACACACCGTACTTCACCATGCTGATCATGAACTACAACAGCTCCGTGCTTTCTGCCCTCGCCAATTCTTTACCGGAGCCCTCAACACGTGGCAATCTCCTGAGCTTTTTGCACCACTTCCATACCTGACAGCCGCCAACATCCACGACCACCTCAAAGCCACTGTACCCTCCATCCTACGCACCCGTTACAAATGGGGCTTCCGCAAAGACTTCAACATTCCATATGGAGTGGTCCATCTAAAAGAGAAGAAGCATTGGCAAAAAGGCCGCACCATCATCTCCTATTTCCATTCACTCAGCGGCAACCTCCTACGCATCACCAGCCGTGCCTTAGACATCATTCTCCAACACCTCTACCCACAACATCCAGGCCAACTTTCCATCCCGCAACTCTGGCGCCATTTCCACTGCTACCTCACCCAAACCCCAGCAGACATCTCACTATATGCCACCAACGATGACCTGGTCGGCTTTTCAACTCGGTTCCCCAGCACCGCCTCATCGACGCAGTCCACTCCATGATTCAGCACTGGCAACACCCTCACCATTGATGTTCACGCAACCGGCCACCCATTCCACCACTCCCACATTGGCCGGCATCACCAAAAACACCCCACACAGCGCACCATCCAGACCTCTGACATCACCACCATTGTCGCCTATGCACTCGACACTTGTATTTTCCGGGCATGCAACAACACTTACAAGCAAATCCGAGGGGCTGGGATTGGATCCCAACTCTCCCCTGCCCTTTGCAACGTAGCCATCACTCTCATCGAACACTCCTGGCACCAGATCCACAACAACCTCCTCCAGCACACTGACATACACTTTGCATACTACCGCTATGTTGACAACAGATTCATCGTCCACAACGAACACTTCCTCCAACACCCAGCCATTCAAACCCTTATCCATCACAACTTCTTCGGTGACCCAGTAGAACTTGAACCGGTAGACGACTTTCACCTTCTGGGTTTCAACATTGACCTACAACAACGTGCCATCACCTACATTCAACCTCTACAACCCTGGAAAGTCAGGGACGCAACCAGCGCCGGGAGCCAGCGCTTGGCTCTGTCCGGGCTCCACTCAAGTCTTCACACAATCCACAAATACACCTTTCCACCTTCGAGCGCTGACGCTGCTGCCACTGAGCTTGTGCAACTCTACGTCCAAAAAGGACACGACTCAACAGCTTGCAGCCGGTTTTTGAAAGGAAAAGCGCCGATTACGGCGATCTGTGTGTGTCACCCCCTGTACCAAAGGGTTCAATGCCACTGTCTTTCACTGCAACCACTTCACAAGGCAGGGGGTCGCTGGGGATTCGTGCAGTCAGCGACCAACGAAGACGCTGCACGTTTCCTGTGATATGAGTTGAGGACGCTCGACTCACGTACCTGCGACTGTTTTGAACTTTTGCCCACGCTGTTCCAATCTTCCTTTTTTGTTTCCATGGTGATTCATGATACCTCCCACAAACCTACTCTTCCCCAGCAGCTGCGCCGCCGCTTTGATCGTTTTGCCGCCGCTTTGAACGCACGAGTGCCTGTGTCAACAATTTTGAACAATACTTTTCAGCGGACTTTTTCGCCTTGCCGTTCCATCACCTTCCTTCCCAACGTGGGAACTGAGTGTAACTGAATACCAATGTCAGAGTGTGTGTTTGTGCGTGGGGGGTGCACAGGGGAGCGTTTGGTCGCTATTGAAATAGTGTTTGACTAGGCCTGAGAGGGAGGTGTGTGTCTCTAAGACACTGTGTGATCTGTGAGGGCCGGAGAGGGAACAGAATGCAAGGTGGAACGGAAGACAGGCATAGCAGAGGAGGCTGGGTAGGAAAAGAGGGTTTGCAAGAAATCTTGGAGTTGCTCGGGGGTCCCCTTAAAAAATTGCAAAGAGGGGCCAAGTTCGGAGGGCTAACCCTGAGCCTGGTGGGGGAGGAGGTAACGAAAATGAGTGGTGTTTGGGGTGTTGTGATGCAAGTGATGTAATTGACGGCGAGTAGTGCATCATTAGCATCACGAGGGGCTCAGGAGGCAATGTAAACCGTCTTCTACCGGGTGGAGTTTATGTCAAGGATGGGAAGGAGGGGACAACGCGGCGCGAAAAGTGGTTGGAACTCCTCCAGGAAAGGGAGAGCGTCTGGTCGCTATTGAAATAGTTTTTGACTAGGCCTGAGAGGGGGGTGTGTGTCTCTAAGACACTGTGTGATCTGTGAGGGCCGGAGAGGGAACAGAATGCTGTGAGGAAGGTGCAGGCATAGCAGAGGTTGCTTGAGGGTGCCCTTTTTGAATGGTAAAGATGCCTGTCAACCATACGCAAAAGGGTACCCCATATGCGAGTTCATGTACTGATGCGGTCTGTTGGGGGCAGGAATGAGAACAGAATGCAGCGGGCAAGCTTTGAATTGCTTGTTCTTTTTAGCGGTGAAGGGGCCTAGTTGCCGGACTCAAAAGGGCACCCCATATGGGGTGGGAGTTCATGTGGATGAAACAGGCTGTCTTCTACCAGGCGTTGGAGTTTATGTCGGCGATAGGCTGAAGTTTGGCTGGGCGAGCGAAGTGAGTAAAGGGGGTGTGGGGGGGGTGCACAGGGGCCAAGTTCGGAGGGCTAACCCTGAGCCTGGTGGGGGAGGAGGTAACGAAAATGAGTGGTGTTTGGGGTGTTGTGATGCAAGTGATGTAATTGACGGCGAGTAGTGCATCATTAGCATCACGAGGGGCTCAGGAGGCAATGTAAACCGTCTTCTTCTACCAGGGGGTGGGAGTTTATGTTGAGGGTAGGAAGGAGGGGACAACGGCGCGTGAAAAGTGGTTGGAACTCCTAATCTTGGAGTTGCTTGGGGGGCGCCCTTTTTGAAAGGTAAAGATGCCTGTCAACCACACGCAAAAGGGCCCCCCATGGGGTGTGAGTTCATGTGCTGATGCGGTCTGTTGGGGGCAGGAAAGAGAACAGAATGCAGTGGGAAAGCTTGGAATTGCTTGGGGGTGCCCTGTTTCAACGGTGCAAGGCCTAGTTGCCGGACTCAAAAGCGCACCCCATATGGGGTGGGAGTTCATGTGGATGAAACAGGTTGTCTTCTACCAGGGGTGGGAGTTTATGTCGACGATAGGAAAGAGAGTGGTTGGGCCCCCCACAGCTATGTTTGCTCACTGTTTGGGCAGCAGGCAAGCCCCTCAGTTCCTTAGGGGTGCCCTTTTTAAAACGGGCTTGAAGCAGGAGTAAAAAGGGCACCCCCCCAAACCTATGTATTTTGTTTTCTATTTGGTGGCTGCAATGTTGACTTCACCCCATACCAAAGGTACTCACTTGATCTTGCACGCCAAGTCTTTGAGTTCCAGTGCACTCTCAATTTCGCCCCCCATTGCCATATTGATGTCTTCTTATGGAGGCTGGTTTTCGTCCCCTCCCTTCTCAGGTGTATATATATATATATATGTATATCCACACACAGGGAATCAACAAGCTGCTTTGACGAGAGTACCGTGCATACATTTTGTATGCACCTAATTCACGAAACCGGGGGGTTTGTTTTGAATGAGTTTTGATGAACATGTTGCAAAACGGAGTGAGTCGGGAAATGCATGAACTTCAGAATAAACTATATAGTACAGAGAGACTCGACAGTGCTAGATAGCAAGTGCCTTCCACCATGCGTTGCCAGGCCTTGCTGGCAGCCCGCTCCAATGTCTCAAAAGAGGGTGCAATGCCCTCAAGAGGCAAAGAGGTGAGAGAGCAACAGGATTGGGCATCAGTAGACAACGAAAATTCTAAACTACCAAACAACTGGATAGTTGGCATCCGCAGAGCAGGGTGTTTCCGTTGCAGGCTGGATTTGTTTCTTCCGAAGGGTGGCACCACTAACACACCATGCAGGATGAGACATCTTCGTGGCTTGGAGTTAGAGAAGACCCTTTGAGGCTGGGGTGGTCGCAGATCGTTCTTCCAAAATACCAAGGTTTCTGGAACCCATTGAAATATTATACGCAGCGAAATGATACCAAAGCAAGTCAACACGTAGCTAGTCACTAACTACCGGACGCAGGAAAGCGCTCGCACTATTCATGCGGTTCCTAGATTTAGGGAAACTCATCTCAGACCTGCTCAAGGCCGCCTACAACTCCCATGTCCACAATCAGTGCTGTCTGAGAGCATTCTCAATCAACACCTGTTTTTCACAAGCAGCCTGTGACAGTATTGCTGTATGGAACAAAGTCCAGATCGTTTTGCGGGTTGTGAAGTACGGACTCTGTATCACAACAGGTTGAATACTCAAAAGGTCACCAGGAATAGGCTGCTGCTTGGGCGGGAGCTGAGCTAGCTGACTTGCAAGCTGACCTCCAAGAACACCTTTCATGCAACACCAAAACAAAAATTCGCACGGCATCAACCACCCCAATGTGGTCCTAGGACCTCGGGCAGGCACACCCAAAACCTTGGCCCAATTTGGAAGAGAAACTGGTGGTCAGAATCACACAACCTAGAGACTTCAAAACTCCACCGTTCAGTTGCCTGTTCTGTGGCGGTGGTGTTCCGATTATCCTGCGCTGCTTCCGCACTTCGAGGCTATGGATCCCTACTGGTACTATTGGCAGCACAGCAAGCACCGGCCTCTTCCGCATAGTTACTATCCTACCGCTACCAGCTATGGCCCAGCCAGCCACGCTGTTCGTACCACGTCCCGTGCGCATCCACATCAAGCCCACCCCTACAGCCCTCCTACTCCACATGCCACCACCACAGCCGCCACGCCAGCAGATTTCCCACCACCCCCTGTGGAGCCCGAAAGGTTGGACCAAGGTTAAAAATAGCACACATAAAACTAAAGCCCTACTGATTTTAGTTTTTCTATTTATATAGGCATCGCCAAGCAGCATCCATGAACTGTCAATTAGACCAACCAGTAGACCAAGTAGTTCCAAGAAAACACAAATTACGCATGCCTCAATAAATCTAGGATAATTTCTATTGTTGTTCTTCTTTAGGATCATTTGAATGTTGAAATGACATGGGTGCTATTTAAACTAAGGTCTTCAAAATGCTTTACCAGGCATTGGCCCCTTCTTAAAGATAGGTTCCAATGTTGTGTTTTCTATTATACAATTTGTGTTTGTTTTCTTGGGTTTGTCTATCCGCCTCTGTTGGGGTAGCCTGGCTGGAACACTGAAATTAAATGGGGTGCTATTTAACTTGAAAGAATAAGTGGCTCAGACACAAGAGGGGAGAGAGAGAGAGAGTAAGTGAGAGGGAGAGGGAGACAAAGAAACAGGGAAAGATATGAACTGATCAGTGACGTGAATCTGTATTTTTAATTTTGGGTGGGTAGCCTTGGGTGGGTAGCCAAGCTCCTTGCTGAGTTGGACATCCACACAAACCAGTGGGTTTGCTGGGAGCTGACGGCCTTTTCACACATGTACAGTATCCCCCGAGACGTAGGACTCCCCCCACTTCATAACACTTTGTGGCGCTCAGAGGTTGGAAACCCGTTTTACAACTTGTAGCGATTATTATATGTATACAAATGTACAACAAAGATTTATATAAAGATATGCATGCATGCATTTCGTTTGAAATGCGTTTGCATTGAGCATTATTTAGTATTTTTCTTTTTATGGCATGACTGAATTGGTGGTTGGTGCGATACCTGAAGCTGCGCAGGCCCTTGAGCTGGCCATGCCTTTCGCTGAGTGTCGACTACGAGCCGTGGAATTCTGCAGAGGGTAGCCATGAAGAAGAACTCTTGCAGATGCTTGCCATGAAAAGATCGCACATGGCAATGCATTGCCAGAGTTGAAATTTCATGAGCACATGGCATGATGGTCGCCGTCCGTTCTTTCATTTCACCCTCAAATCACCAGGGATCCCTAGAGCCGCCGCGAGAAAGGTTTCGTGCGAGTTTGGTAGCGGAGCCCTGCACCACGCAGGGCTCCCGCGCGCCATAGGCTGCTCTGCGCGGTGGCTGCCGCGCTGCCTGACCTCGACCTCAGGCCACCTTCGAGAACGAGCTGTAAGACCAGGAGCATCACGACTCTGTTTCCTGGCATCCGTTTCATCACGCTTGTGGCGTGCACTTGCTTTCACTTCTACCAGCTGACGGTAGACCACCACGTGATCCAGAGAGCCCTGCGCTACCCGATTCAGGTCAAGAAGACTGTGAGGTTCGAGCTCGATCGCGAGACGCTTGCCTTGCAGGACACCCACCAGTTGCACTACTACACGACCCTGAAGTCGGAGCAGTACAGGACCTTTGCCTGTCCTTCAGCATCGATGGCGACCTTGCCATCGACAGGAGTCCCATTGCAAGAGTATCGCAAGGACTGTCCGCCCGGATGGGCCCCTGGGATACCAGATTATCCCCTTCGTCACTATTTTGACAAGCTGAAGCTCTGGTACAGGATCTATGACGGACCTGACGAATCGGTTGGACCATTGGTAGCTGGACGCCTTCAAGGAAGAGCTCAAAAGATAGCTTTGAGCCTCCGTCTCATCCGCCCCGACGGCAACTATGACATTGGCGACAGCGCTTTAGTCCGACTGTCAGTTGACGAAGTCCGTGACCCCATGGATCCAAATGTCATCTTGCAGCACCACATTCCGAGCGGCATCTCCGCCTTGGCGACAGCTCTTCGTGCCGCATTTGGTCAGTCCGACCAAGAGATGACGACCACCGCCCTGGAAGCTTTCTTTGAGCTTCGAAGAGGAAAAATGTCGCTTTAGGACTATGCGGCAGAATGGGAGCTTCGTCTTGAAGAGGCTCAAGTCCGTGCAGGCTTGGAGCTCAACAACGTCGCCAAGACCTACCTCTTCTTCCGCAACAGCGGACTGCCTGTGAAGTTCGTTGAGGATGTGAAGATGCAGATCCATGGAGATATGAGCAGATTCGATGAGGCCCGACGACTCTCTCTTCGCATCAGCAGCAGAGGAGATCAACAGCTTTCCACTGATCTCTATGCCTCAAGCTCCATTGGTTCCATGGTCGACAACACCGCCTATGAGGACTACTACCAGGACAGCTGGGATTCCTGGACATGGGACGGATGGCGCGCTTCAGACGTGTATTATGATCAATGTGTCGACGACCATTGGGCTGACTCTGCATGGAGCTATGATGCCTGGATGAGAGAGGGAGAAGAAGAGGAGCTATGGCATGATGCACAAGACACAGCTTCCGAATGGCATAGCCCTGAGCACTACGACATGGCCGCAGGAGATGAAGCTGCAGATGCACCTGCCGCCGAGGAGTACTACCAGGGCACCAATGATGGATGCTTCGTCTGTGGCTCCAAGTATCATCGAGCTGCTCAATGCCCAGTGAACCATGGACACTCCGGTTCACCTGGCAAAGGATTCCAAGGAAAAGGCAAAGGCAAGAAGGGCAAAAGCAAAGGCTTCGGCAAGAACAGAAAAGGCTTCAAGGGCAAGAGCAAGGGCAAAGGCAAGGGCAAAGGCAAGCCCTACTACTATGACGACTACTATGCCTACCGACGCCAACCTGATCATGGACTCTTCGCAACGGGTTCACCTACAAGGTCATCCTCATCCACTACTACCAGCAAGACGATTGCGCAAGAGAGCCCACCACGACAAGTTGGCGAGCTCTTTGCCTGGCGAGGATCAGCCCCTGCTGAGGAAGAGAGTGTCACCACACCAAGCACTCCACCTGCTGATCCAGCCAAGAGAAGCCTGAACTTCGCGACAACATTGCACACCTCAGCGGACGTGTTCCACACCGTCCAAGGTCACAAAAGACGAGGACTTCTCATTGATCCAGGAGCAGCAGCCGGCCTAGTTGGAAGTGAGACTTTGAGAGACATCATCGAGCACTGCTACCCCAATGCACACCGAGAAGAGGCAATCACATGGTCTGACTCCGATGCCACCATCACCGGCATCAGTGGACAACCAGACAAAGCTCTTGGCAGAGTTCACTTGCAGCTGCCATTGAAGGACATGAAGGCCACCTACACGGCCGACGTCATTGGGAACGCAGGCTCGCTCTGTCCGGCTTTGGTTGGCAATCCTGCTCTATGTGAGATGAGAGCATCACTCCACTCCAGATGGTTTGACAACAACGATGGCCTCTTGGTGACTTGGGACACCAACAACTCAGTCAAACCAGAGATGCATCTGTTTCGATGTCTTCTCACTGGTTCTGGTCACTACCTCCTTCCTTTGGATGAGCAAGCTGAAGTACCAAGTCAACACTATGAAGCTTGCCACTTCATTCGACATCTCTCCAACGTGTCGAAGACCAAATGGCCAGATCATGCTTACACGTTCTGGCAATCAGTGACTCAGACCGAGGCAGACCCGAAGCAGAAGTGGAGGTCCGATGAGCCACCCGAGATCAAGGACACCAATTCTCCAAAACAGGTGTCTTTTGCAGACAGTGAGCTCACGGATTCAAAAGAAGCAGATGACACTTTTCCTGAGGCTGAGATTACAGAGGCTGTTGAGAAAGCTTTAGATAGCACATCTGAGGAGGCAATCTCTACAGCGATAACATCATCTAGCCCAATTGAGGAGTCAATGACCAAAGCAATGACACCATCCAGCACATCGGAGGAGCCTGTGTCCACAGCAATCGATGAAGTGTTTGGCACTGGTTTTGACAAGCTTCCACTGTATGCAAGAGATGATTTTCCCCCGCATCTCTCTTCCAGTGACCTGACACGACTTCACAAGGACTACAAGGCAATGCCGGAAGAGTACTACACTCGATCTGGCAAGAGAGTTGTCACACCTCAGAACTTCAACACCTGGCTTGGTGAAGCACGTCGTAAGAAGGTCAAGTGGCATGGTTGGGAACTCTGCTCAGGCTCTGGTCGTTTCTCACTTCTGTGCATCTTCGCTGGCCTCACGATGGGCTTTCCCGTGGACTACCGCTATGGTTGGGACATTGCGCATCCAGATCATCAGAAGATGCTCGACCAGGCCTATGAGACGTGCTGTCCTGACTTCCTACTGTGCTCACCTCGCTGCAAGTTCTGGAGCATCTCATCTTCAAGAAGAGATCGACAAGAGCTCATGAAAGATCGAGAATCAGAACGGCCTGCTTTGGTCTATCTGCAAGACAAGATGTACCAGCAGACCATTCGTCAGAAGATCTACTTGCTGGAACACCCATGGAGCTCAGCATTATGGACTGAAAGTGTCATGACTGAGAACAAGACCTTCGTGGGCCATCGACGAGCCAAGCGCACCGATCAATGCGCCTTTGGAGCATGTGCAGAGAACAGGCAACCGATCCTGAAGGCCACTGGTTTAGAAGCCAACTTCAAGTTGAGAGCTAGTCTCAAGCGTTGCAATGGTCATCGAGGAGTACCTCATCTACCACTTCAAGGACAACACCGAGGAATCTCACGGACTGCAATGGCTGCTGTCTACCCAGTGAGATTCTGCCGGGCGATCATTGAGGACATCCTCTACCATCTACAACCACGAGGCAGCTTTCGACCCAATCGCTTGAATGCCCTCACCAATGTGGAGATCTTCTACAAGTGTGAGCGATGCTCCATGGGAAGAGCTGCCCTGCCATTCATGGAGCACTCCTTCATTCCTGGAGAATGTCGCTATGGCAGACACCCAGACAAAGCACCAGCGACACCAAGCATGGCAGCTAATCCACTGGAGGACTTCAAGCGAGCTGCAAAATCCCATGCATTGGCCAAGAAAGTTGAACTCAACTACCCCGAGGACTTTGACTTCACTGCGGAGGAGGCAGTGTGGATCAAGTACCTCATGTGTGAGATCCGCAAATCCAGTTTGGCCGTCTTCGATGAAGCCAAAGGTGAAGACTACATCTACTGGCTGACCGATCCATCTCTGCTGATGGCCGTCAAGCATTGCCTGAAGAAGATCACGCATGTCCATGGAGTACATGTGACACTACATCCATTCGTCAAGGCTTTTCCAGAACCACACCTCTCAGCAGAGAATGCACCACTTCGCCTCATTTGTCGTGGCACCTATGAGAGCTGGCAACTCTATGCCCTTGAGGATCTGAGAGAACTTTCTCCAGCCCAACAACGAGAAGCCATTGATGAAGAGGATTGGATGATCACCTTCTTCGGCAACAATGTGCCGCCATCGACGAAGGTTCCTGGAACACCTGTTCCCAGCACACCAGCAGTTGCAGCATCCACGCCGAGACCTGCCATTGCTGATGCTGTTCAACCAGAGGAACCTGCTGCACCTTTGGCAATACAACCATATGATGAAGTGGGCACTTCCAAGGCAATAGAATTGCGCACCATGAAGCCCCTCTACAGCATCAAAAGAGTCCTTCATCGTCTACCACAAGAAGTCAGCAAGGACACTGTGAATGCCAAGAGAATGCTGCTTGGTCTTCATGAACGACTATGGCACGCCAATGCGACAGATCTGGCGAACCTGTTGCTGAGAGCAGGCATGCCTCCTGCTGTGGTGGAAATGGCTCATGAAGCAGTTGCCAACTGCACGATCTGCAGGAAGTACTCTCGATTACCTGCACGACCGAAGAGCAAGATTTCATTGGCTGCCCATTTTGGAGATGAGGTGGAGATGGACATCTTCTACTTGTGGCCCAAGCCATTTGTTCTCTTGATCGATGTCGCCACCCGCTACAAGATCGCCTATGAGACACCGAGTCGAGAGACGGGTGAACTGTTGAAAGGACTTCTCCACAGATGGACCTCCATCTTTGGTCCTATGAGAGTTCTGACTTCGGATCAAGAGAGCGCCATTATGTCATCCACAGCTGCCATTGAGTTTGAACGCCTTGGGGTGACACGCAATCCAAAAGGAACCACGGCAGGAGAAGCTGGACGACAACACACCGGCACTGGTCTAGTGGAAAGGCATGTTGCTTTGATCAAGCTGACCATGCAGAAGGTGAAGGCCGAATGTGATCGACAAGGTCTTCTGGTGGAGGATTCTGATGTGGCCACCGAATCAAGCATGAGCCACAATCTTTGCTTGACTTACGGAGGCTATTCTCCATGCATGGCAGTGTTTGGAGTGGTTCCAAGAGCTTTCTACGAGTTTGAGACCCCACAGATGACGGCAATCACTGGGGCAGCAGATCGAGATGCCACTGTCTTCGAAACTGCACTAAGGCTTCGTCAAATTGCCCTCACTGCAATCCAGCAGTCATTGGCTGAAGATCGCTTGACACGTGCCACTCTTCACCGCTCTCATCGAGTGGATACCACTGAGCTTGTTCCAGGCACCAGCACCGTGGAGATATACAGAGATGCAGCATGGAGAGGTCCAGCCACACTTCTTGAAGCAGATCAAGAAGAAGGAACTGCCATCGTCAAGCACAAGGAAAGCCCTACCTGATGCCACTGCGATTTGTCAGACCATCGAAGGGAGTCTTCTACAACGTGGACTCCTACACAGGCACCAGCCTATACAAGCTGATGACCATGGCAGAAGAAGCTCAGCCATACAAACAGTTTGTTGTTGGCTACAAGCGTGTTCTGACTTCATCTGGCATCAACTGGCAGAGCATTCCACTACATCCAAACGAAGAACAACAACAATTGATGAAAGATTTCGCTGACTGGCAGAGCTGGACTCAACATCCGATCCACGGACTGGTTTATGGCCAGGGCCTGAAGACTTTGACACCTTTTCCTGGCACCTACGGCACTGTTTTTGTCTGGCAGAAAGGCACGGCAAATTTCGTCAAGATGAACAAGACCAATGACCTTCAGATGAAGCTCAACAAGATCCATGAATCACACTGGGACTCACTGTGCGTCATCTACTTGTACCACTACCCCAATTTCATTGAGGATGAAGCCAAGACTACTGCAGAGATGAAGGCTGAGTCACACAGCCTACCCAGTGTTCCTCATGTACCACCAGAACCTTCTCAACGCATGGAGTTGGAAGATGAGCTTTCATCAGTCATTCCACATTTGCCACAGAAGAGAGAGGACCCAGCATCACCGGTCCTACTTCCTGAGCAGGAGCCAAAGAGAAGCAGATTGGAAGGCAACTTCACGATCGTCAACACCAATTACCAGAATCTGCACACCCTTCATTGGCTCATGGACAGACAACGTAAGCATCGACTGCATACTCAGGATCTGTGGGCCGACTACTATGAAGTTCCAAAGTGGTTTGCTGGAATGACGTTCAAGATGGTCATGGAGAACTCCCAGAACAAGCACGAGTACAATCTTCGCACCAAATGCTCCAAGTTGGTGGATCAGTATGGCAGCAAGCACCGGACTTTCTTCATTGAGCTTTCTGCCCAGGCTGTTGGAAGCTATGCATCGGTCACTGCAGAAGACAGCATTGCTGAAAAGGACCTTCCACCAATTTGGCCAGAGGTCGAGATTGCAGATGAGAAGGAGATTGCTTCGTCAGCGAGAAGGCCTTTGCGAAGATTCTTCTGGAGTCAGTTCCCGCGGACACCGTGATCATAGATGGCACATGGGTCCGTAGATGGAAGTGGAAGGGCAACCAGCGGATCATCAAATCCCGCATGTGTGCCAGAGGATGCTTCGACCCTCAGAAAGATTTCCTGGCCACTCGATCCACTACGGCATCACGACTGTCACAGAGAATGCTGCTTTCGACTGCCGCAGTGATGCGTGAAGATCCTGAAAGCTGGGATGTCAGTGGAGCCTTCCTCAAAGGATTGACCTTTGACCGCATCAGAGAGATACTGCTGAAGCAAGGCATCAAGTCTCCTACGAGAGCAGTGGTTTTGATTCCTCCATGGAATGTTTGGCGCCACCTGGCTACGGCAGATCCAGAATTTCATCTGGAACCATGGGAGATTCCATTGTATGGTTTGTGGTGCAACAAGCCGCAAGCCCATCTATGGATTGAACGATGCCCCTGTCGCTTGGCAGTTGAGTCTTGGACAGTTTCTCCAGCGAAACAATGGTCATAGCAGCAAGTTGGACGACAGCTTTTACTTCTGGAAAGATCCTTCCAGTTCGACACCTCTGCAAGGAGCGATGACCACTCATGTGGATGATCTAGCTGTTGTTGGCTGCTCAAGGTTCAAGGAGGAGCTCTACAAGGAGATGTGCAAAGAGTTCGGTTCCATCTCACGGGAACATCTGCCTTTTCAACACTGTGGCTGTCAATATAGCAAGACACCCACTTGTTTGAAGATGGACCAATCCACCTTTGCATCGAAGCTCAAGCCCTCAGACAATCCAGAAGGGCCCGATGATCGAGCTCTCACACCGAGTGAGCTGACACAGTTCCGTTCAGTGCTTGGAGGATTGTTGTGGTTGTGCAGCACAAGGTTAGACATCATTGCTGAGGTTGGCACCCTACAGAGCGTCGTAACCAAAGCAAGAGTGAAAGATCTCCGTCAAGCCAATCAGTTGGTCAAGAAGGCATGCAAAGCTGACAAGCTGAATCTTGGGCTTCATTTTCGACATTTTCCTCCTGATGTTGGCCTTCGCATTCAATGCATCCACGATGCCAGTTCGGCCAGCAAAGGAAAGAGCTATGCCCAGGAAGGCATGATGATCCTCCTCATGCCCGAGCTGCCTGACGAGATCTTGCACCAAGATGACGTCACATGTTCAGATGAGGACATCACCAAAGTGTCCGACTATGGCCACCTCCTGTTCAACCACGGAGGCAAAGCCAAACGAGTGTCTTACAGCACCTCACATGCTGAGACATTGTCAGCCATTCACTGAGCTATGGATTGCAGATCCCAATCCTTCACTGCAGACGTTGACGCAGTACCAAGAGCAGGGGTCCTCACTTTTCCCTGTCGACAGTGCAACAGACTGCCGCGACTTCTTTGAGCTGGCTACAGGTGAACGTTCAGTACCTCAGGACAAGCTTCAGCGCCTGTACGTGCTTGCGTTCAAGGAGGCAAGAGCGACTGGCAGGATTAGGTTCCTGATGTTGACTCCGACGGAGTTCATGCTGGCAGATGGCCTAACCAAGGTCATGAACCCGCCAAAGCTTTTCCAGTTCCTCAGCACCGGCTATGTTGAGTTTGGCAACGCCACCAAACATCCAACGTTGATGCGCCGCTTGCCTGTACTTCATGAACTACAAGAAGAAGATTTGTTCAAAGATGATGCAAGCCTTTGGAAGGAAGCCTATGAGGGACGACCAAAAGTCTCAATGCAGAAGACTGCGATGCTTGCTATGCTTGGCTTGGCAGCCAAACCCGTGACAAGGACTTTGTTGGCGATGACCGCCTTGACCTCACAAGTTCATGCAGCAACTTCAGAGGCGCTAGAGACCTCATGGGGAGATTCATGGAGCTTCCCTTTCTTCATCCTGCTCACCTTCATCCTTTTGCGTACCTTGGAGTACCTGGTCACCTGCTTGTGCCGTGTTGCAATGAAGTCAATGAGTCCACCGAAGGAGGCCATGCCTACCTCGCTGAATTCGCCTACGGCAACTCCGATGACAAGGAGAATGAGCACAACGCCTGAGAGATTCATGCCAAGTCCCGGCATGGAACGAACTTTGAATCTGGAGGAGACGACTCCAGTGAGTGCGATTGGCCGAGAGCCGGAGGCCCGAAGCCGAGGAACCAATCGAGTTCCTGAGAAGATTTGGATCACCACCACAGGTGCATGTTTCCATCTTCGACCAGATTGCAATGGGCTCAATCATGGAAAGCCATTTTCAAAGAAGATTTGCATTCACTGCATGAATCATGAGGGCAGAACCCAAAGCAGCAGTGGAGTTGAAATTTCATGAGCACATGGCATGATGGTCGCCGTCCGTTCTTTCATTTCACCCTCAAATCACCAGGGATCCCTAGAGCCGCCGCGAGAAAGGTTTCGTGCGAGTGCCAGAAGATGATTTCAAGATGGCTGAGGCAGGCTGATTCACCAAACAGCAAACCACTTGTTTTCGTTTGGATGGGCCCCGCGCCTGAGGCTTGCGTGCTCTTGTCTTGTGGAAACACCACATTGTAACCAACCGCTGCAAGCAAAGGGTTGCTTAGTAGTGACATCTCAACACATCATCAGTAACTAGCTAGCAAAGCGATGTAATGGAGGAGCTACACGGAAGCTCTTGCATACTGCACCACAGAGAGCTAAAAGGATATGATTCGCTAGCAGCAGAAACTATATGCACATGAAACTAGCAACCAAGGAGATACTTGCAGAGCGAACTATCTGGGAACGAGGAGGGAATATGCCTCAATACTTGATCGAATCAAAGAATCAGAGGCTGACAAGAATTGAAGCAAGATCTTCCACTTGTAGCCTTGCTTGCCCCGAGTGTGAAAGTGTCAGAGGGCCTTTCCTTGGTGAGGACCTGAGCTCCATGTCTGGGCCCCTGCCAAAGGAGCTGGAAGTGGAGGCTGGAAAATGAAGAGCGCCGAGTCCGAGTCCAGAACAGTCTTGTCCTGGCTCGACTATCAAGCACTGACAAGGCCTACAGCCCAGCCCTCCAACACGGCCATGTCCCCAACGGACACCAATTGAGCAGCTTTCTAAATTCACCCTTTCTTTTTAAGTCAGGGACCGGCGAAAAATCAGTGAACATAGTGGTTTTAGCTGATGTTTGTAAGGTGTCCGTAAGGTTTGCCGTAAGGATGTGCAGACTTGAACGACGCCGTAAGGCTACCGGAAGCGAAACTTGTATTTTGATTCTGTATCCTTTCTTGTTTTGCAACAACATATATGTGGCCATAGTGGACTTGCATACCTTCGCCGTAAGCACAACGTAAGAATAGCCATGCATACATGTGTCACCGTAAGCAAAACATAGAAAAATGTAAGCTTTGCGTAAGGCCTACCGTAAGGTTTGATTTCTCGGCAAGAAAAGACAACACAATTTTGAACACCGCTCAATTCACGGCTCCACTCCTACCCACACCCATGAGGTGTATGTCACCAGCGCCCACAAGCAGCCTTGCAAGCCTAAACATATATACACTTTTTTGATCCTTTTGCAGGGGGCAGGAATGAACACAGTGCCTTGATGCAACAATGATGCTGTCTTCCAAGTACGCCATTGGGTCTTTAAGGCGGCGAGCCTTCGCCAAGAAGCTGGGGACGCTTTACCAAGCTCCGGTCAGGAGGCGTGCTCGGAGTGCCATTGTTCCCCACATTGACGTGTGGGGTTTTTGTTTTTAGTGTTGTATCCGCGCCGCGCTCCTCCTCCCGCCTCCCGCTTGCCACCAACCAATTGCCACCCACCAATTGCCACCCACCAATTGCCACCAATCAATTGCCACCAACCAATTGCCACCCACCAATTGCCACCCACCGATTGCTACCAACCAATTGCCACCAACCAATTGTCACCAACCAATTGGCATCAACAAACTGCCACCAACCAATTGCCGCCAACAAACTTCCACCAACCAATTGCCACCCAACCAACTGCCACCAACCAATTGCCACCAACCAATTGCCACCAACCAACTTCCACCAACAATATGCCACCAACCAACTGTCACCAACCAATTGCCACCAACCAACTGCCGCCCACCAATTGCTACCGACCAATTGCCACCAACCAATTGCCACCAACCAATTGCCACCAACCAATTGCCA